TACTCAACCGTATGCGTAAATTCATAATCTTAAGTTCTATGTTTGTATTCAAGGAGTGAAGGAGTTACAACAATATAAATAAAAGATGCTATAACAATAAATATAGTCTTGCAACATTTTACCAACTTCTTATTAAATAGTAGAACTTACTATATTTGAACAAAAAAAAAATTAAAAAGTGAAACCTAAAACGTTGGACGTAATAACATAGTATTTTTTACATAAATAATTGTTTATATTTTAAAAGAAGATGCTATTGCTTTTTGTATGTTTTGTGTTTGTACAAGCTAAAGGTAAATAATATATTTTATATATTTTTATAATAAGTATTTATTTCTACAAACTATAATGAAACCTTTCTAAACCCACTGTTTTAAAAAACGATGTTGCTTGCGCAATGGTAGGGTAGGGTGGGGTAATATGGAATAATAAAGTAATATGGATAATTCAATAAATACGCATTGAGTAAGTTATCTTTAAAAAAAATTCTGAAACCTGAAACTTATAAACAGTTTACACATATAATAAGCTTCTTTTTTTTGCATTAATTTTTATATTTAACATTATTGTTTATATTTGATTTACATAAATAGCTAAAATGTAAAATAAGTTGTTTTGAAAAAAACATTTAAAGAATTATGCTTTTAGACTTCTGTCTACAGACTTCAGTAATATTAAATAACTAAGTACAATAATGTAAATTTATTTATAAAACATGATATAACAACATGCAAAGTTAAATTTATACGTTCTTTCACCTATATTGACAAATAAACAAAAATCTAAAATGGGGTAAAATGGATATACAGGTAAAATGAGAGTGGAGTAAAAAGTAAAATATATATATATATATATATATATATATATATATATATATATATATATATAAATATATATATATATATATATATATATATATATATATATATATATATATATATATATATATATATATATATATATATATATATATATATATATATATATATATATATATATATACATATATATATATATATATATATATAAAATCATGGCCTACTATATTCACGGCAATATATCTTACATATAGATATATTGCCGGAGGAGGAAATTTAAGGAGGAAATTAAGAGGCCGGTTTTGAAAGTCGGTTTTAGATGCAAAATACGCTTAAATATAATTTTTTTAAATATTCTTTTTTCTGAATTTACTAATTTTTAAAGAATTTATATTGAAAATGGTCAACAAATGTGCTGCACCAAAATGCACATCGGGATACTTAAGAAACAAACACAAACAAACTGCATTTTTTCATTTTCCAACAGACCAAAACTTAAATCAACTTTGGATATGATTTGTTAATTGTTCAGATAGGACTCCAACAAAACATTCTGTTTTATGTGAACTTTATTTTGAAGATAAATTTATACTTATTGGTGATACATGCACACTGAATTGGCTTTTAAAACCATCTAAGTATTTTTGTGAACTTTTGCAAAAAATATCATCGTTGCCAGTTTTAAAAACTTCTCGAAGTCCTCCTAACGTGAGAATATTCCGAAAATATGAGTTAGAAATATTCAAGAAAAAAAATAAAATTACAAATCTACATAATTTGAATGAAGCAGTAGCACCACCAGGGTTTCAATTTTAATGATTCGAAAAAGGTATTGTATTTTATAATATAGTATTTAATGTACAGACATATTTTCCAATTATATTAGAATCAATAACAGTTGATGTAGACCTAAATATACGTTTGTAATACAAAGGAACACCGCTTCCATAACCAAGTTGGTTTGTTAAAGGATATAATGCAAAACCTAATAAAATTAGTATGCTAGAAAACTTTCCTTTTTATAAGAGAAGCTACACATTAGAAAATCATGATACTATTTTAGATAAAATTAAAGATAGAGAGCTTTATTAGCTACAACGCAAGCTACCATACTCAGCAGAGATGATTTTTTTTTTTTTTCAGTTTACAATTATTAATCGTAATATAACAATATAACAATATATAAACTTGGTATCTGAAAGAAGATCCAAATGATCTTGTCGCCAGAACCATATAAAAGATATAATACGTGTATATATAATAAAATAAAATATAATTGATCAAATAACTAATAACAATGTAGAAGAAACAAAAACTGAAAACAATTTTACAAATTATCCAGAGTAAAAAAAAAAAAAATTTTACATTTCAAAAATATTTATATATATTGCCAGTAGAAAGAATATAGTTTTTTAATTTAGTTTTAAAAACGGAAAACGAAATCGACAAATCAAAATTTGGAACAACAATTTTGTTCCATAAATACGGTGCTCTATAGTTTATGCAAAATTGATTAAACTTTGTTTGACAAAAGGGTTCAATTAATAAATTATTATTTCGTAAAGCATATTTGTTTATAGCTTTATAAGTAAAAAGATCTTTGAAATTGGACAATGGTCGTTCACTTTTACAACGAAACATAAAACATAAAATATTATAGACATTGAGTTCGTAAACGTTAAGTGCTTTAACGTTTTTAAATAAAATATTTGAATGAGAAAAACGATTTTCGAAACATATTAAACGCATTGCGTGTTTCTGACAATGGTAAAGACTTCGTAACTTACTTTTAGAGGTACTTCCCCAAACAATATTTGCATAATTTATATAGCTATGAATAAACGAGTAGTAAAGTTGAATTAAATTTTGTTTACTTAGATAGTATCTGACCTTATATAGAATTCCAATACTTTTAGCCAATTTAGTAGAAATATAGTCGATATGATACTTCCATGTAATATTTTCATCAATGTAAATGCCTAAAAATCTTGTGACCGACTCCTTTTTTATTTCAATTTTATCAATAAAAAGTTTAAGCAATTTATTTGGTAAAAAACGCTTTTTAGCAAGAGAGTGGAAAAGGATCCACTTTGTTTTGTCAATGTTTAAAGTTAACTTGTTGCACTTAAACCAGTTGGAGATCTGATTGAGTTCATTATTCATATTTGAAAAAAGCTCATAAATGCTACTGTTTGACAGAAATAAATTAGTATCGTCCGCAAAATTTATACTCATAAGGTTAGAAGCTTTATTTAAATCATTTATATAAACTAAAAACAAAAGTGGGCCTAGAATAGAACCCTGTGGAACACCACATTTTATGTCAATTAATTTTTCATTTTGAAAATAATCTCCATTATATTGATTCTATAAAAGCTTTAAAACTTCTACGTGAAAAAGGAAAAATTTTTCCTGATTGTATTTGGATTATAGATAAAATGTATTTACAAAGAAAAGCAAAATTCCAATATCACAATGAAAGTCAAAAAATAAGAATATAGTTGCTTTTCAAAAATATAATATTCTGCGCAGCCATTTTTTAGTACAAATCGGCCTCCTAATTTCTCCCTCAAAAATGTAAGATATACGGCCGTGAATATAGTAGGCCATGATAAAATATACAAAATATTATAGAATAATATTATAGAACTTATTAAATATTATAGATTTTATAATAAAATTATAAGCTGCATGACATTTATTTATATATTTATGCTCAATTGTGCTTTTTTCCATCTAAATGTTTTAAATTTTATTTTTATATTCCTTTTAACTTTATTCAATAATATTTCAGATAAAATAATAAAAATTTAATAAATTACCAAATGCTTTGTGAATATCAAAGCAAGTCCATTGGTACATACGATCACAGCAAATTAATGGCTGCCAAACAGCTTATTAAGGCAGAGGACTCAGTACACAAATTATCAAAGTCATCTGAAATTCCTTATGGGACAATTTATTGAAGATCCCGTGATCAAATAAAATTCTGCCAAAGTAAATGGAATTTGTATTGGGTTTATTTTAAACAATACTGGTGAAAAAAATTCTAGAAGAAGCCCTAATATATTCAGCTGATAAGGATTTTCCTCAAGATTGAAAAGATATCAAACTGATGGTTAAATCCTATATAACATACTAGAGAATAAATTCCATTAAAGATGACTGACGAGAAAAAAACTGGTGGTTATCTCTTGAAAAATATGAAATGTAGTTTTTGGAAAAAGAAAACCTAAACTTTTGACGGAAGCAAGAGCTAATGATATTTCTTTACAATATACGGATATTTTAAGTGATATGAGAAGACATTATTCCATAATTAGTTTGATAGACCACATTGTATCTTTAATTTAAATAATAACAGGAGTACGTACATATCTTACTGCAGAAAAAATCTTTGTTTGAAAAACATAAATAACAGCATATTACCTTGCTCCATCATGCGGTAAATCAAATGTTGCAAGAAAGAAGAGAAGAAAAAAGTTGAAAAGAAGACTGTATATGTGAGAAAAAAAAAAACTGACGATTACCTAATAAAAATTGGCATATTAAATACATAAGTGTGATACATATATCAAATATAAAATGAGTATCGATATTACCCTATTAGTGGGTTAATATAGATATATAAAAGTTGTTTTTAAAAAAGGATTATTAAGTTAGTTATTGAAAATATATTTGTGTTCTACTCATTGCCAAGTTATTGTATACACCCTGAATGTAAAGAAAAATAACAAAAGCTTTTATGATGGTTTTACCTTAAAAATAAATTTGTATATAAAAATAAGTATATCTAAAATTCTATCCATATTACCCCACCCCACCCTACCTTACAGTTGCTTTAATTTTTCAAAAGTCACGGTAAACAATTCTGATCGGTTGATTTTTTTCTTTTATTTAAAGAATGCCAACTCCAAAGAAATATAAAGCATATATTACATTAAATTATAAGAAAATTGATACTTAATTGGAGTTCTTTTAAAAGTACACACAAAATAAATATGTTTTTTATTAGGACTTTTATTAAGATTTTTAGTTTTTATTAAAAAGATAAAAAGACTTTAATTTTTTTTTACGGAGTTAAGGGGGAATATCATTCAAATAATTATTTTCAAGAATAAAGCTTTAACGAAGATATATTCTTTTTTGAAATAAAAGTACACTATATGTTAAAAAAAATATTTTTAAAAAATGGTACTATGTTGCCATGTCAACGTAATAAGTAAAATCAGACAATACATCGCCGTGAACGGACTTGATTTACTTACAAAGCTAATACCGACAAAAACTTTACGACTTCGCTACTAAAAAGAAGTTTTGCATATACACGAGAACACAATTACAATAACTTTCAACAAAAAATAACAAAATTAGAGGGTTTTATTGTTAAAGGAAGACAATAAACATCTCAAATTTATAGGAATCGATTCAAAAAAAGCCGTCGATTTTGTTAGTAAAAAATATAATAAAACTAT